ATGTCGTATTTCTAGCATCTGTAGAATTTGGACAAGTTAAACTTTCTGTAAATAATAATAATAACTAGAGATATTGGAACTCAATTTCAACTTTTACAGTGATCATCAGTAATTACAAAAACGCCTACATGACAGTAAATGAAATGAAATGAATGGAGTTTTACGCCTTACTTTCCTGCACCACGTGGGTTAATGAAGATTGGCAATGCCATGCAATGAGAAAATTTTGTCAGGATAGCCTGCCCTTTTTCGATGTCCACTGTTTAACGTGTATAGCCTGTAGCACAATGGGCCTCGCTTTATTGTCCCATTCGAAAGACTAGGCGCTTTTTCCATAACAGACCCTCTTACCTGCATCAATGCCAGGGGGAAACCGGATTGAATACCTCGACCTATGCCGGGTTTGAACTCTCGACCTTCAGGTTAGCGAGCAAGCATCTAACTCACTCAGCCACCGCGGCTCCCGCATACAGGACATTTGCTAAGAAGGAGGGTGCATTTCCGAAATTGCTGACAAGAGGGGAATATTACACGAGTGAATGTCAACAGATCTTAGACTGCGATATTCGTTTATATATCTGGGTATATATCCGAGTTTCAGAACTCCCTGCCTTACGTTCTTTTGACCATTGCTTACCGTCAGTAAAAGATGCGTAATAAACTGTTGCTGTCAAACTTGGTGTTGTTCCTGCTAAATTACCAACTGTACAATATACTTGTAAATCTTTCTCCACATCTGATATATTATATACATCTTTGTTTTTTGCTGTTGATAAAATGTAGACAAAAACTTTTAAAATAGTCAAGCAACTTACAACTTGTAATTTACAATGAATGTTTTAAGTTACAAGTTATTGTCAACAGAACAGTCTATTATCAAAGTGAAAATCCATCGCTTACCTGATACAATCTCTAAATCGGTTTGGGCATCAAACCAAGAATAATTTACTGGAGAACTTGGTGAAGAACATTTTAATGTTACTGACTCTCCATCTAGTAAGAATGTTGATAATGGCCACAGTGTTACAACTGGTTTAGAGATTATCTTTACTGTCTTGTTACCAACGAATTGATAGTTGAATCATTTGAACTTTGAACCATACATTTCAACGAACCTAAAATATATGGATATAGATGGTAAAGAACTTTATGTATTTTGAGGAAATTTCTAAACATAAACAAGAGAAGTGGAAGAAATGGTAATTGGAATTGAAAAACTGTGTTGATATGACAGTTCTAGTGTATGTTTTGACTGATTTAGGCAAAGTTGTGAGGTAGTGGGGCCCCGTCTCTTTTGCTAAGGCCTTGCACATTTTCGACTGTCGAGGACCATCAAATTTTACAGAGCTGTCCTCTCATTTGACTAAAGGAATTAAAGTAGACAAAATCAGTGGATGCTCGTCTGAAACAATGTAAACATAGAACTTCAAGGGTAGCAGAGTTACATCAAAGTAACTAACCACTTTGCTCTCTGTGATGAACTAACTTACCAGCATGACTTGGTTTAGCTTTATCAAACTGTATAATATATTGATACCCAAATCTATCATTAGAGTCTGTTGAATTCCTCATTTTGATTCTTGGTGTATGAGTTAAAAGTGAATCATCTAAGAACCACCTTACGATTGGCTTAATCGCCTCATTTGTGCCAACTAGTCTAAATTTACAGACATATTCTATTGATGTTCCTTCTAATAACTTATCTGGATCACCATCACGCAATGTTAAGATCGTCGAGGATATGTACTGACCTGAAATTTACAAACTTAAAATTCAAATTATTGAATGGGAAATAGTCAAGTGACATTTGGCTATGGTCATCTTCACTCATAAATCCAGTCGACCCAGCTGTAAATGGATATGATAATCCGGGAAAGATCAATGTCAAGAGGTTTGGCCGCGAACCAGTTGGTAGAAAGGATCCTTAGATGTTGTTATCCTTGTACCACGCACTGTCTTTGTATTTGCCAATTATGCAACTGAGAGAGAAATTTAGTCCTAGGTAACCTAGCAGATTGTGACATTATATTTTCAAACACATATTGTATAGTTATGTACATAACATTACCTCTTTGATAGACTATACCATCCTGTACTGTCAAATTACCCAATGTACCAGTGTTAACCTGATCTAAAAAGGCCTTAGATGTATCCTCAACCGTACCACTTTCATTTACAAATATGACACCATCACAAAAAACACCCCCTGGTCTGTTGTACACAAACAAACTCATACTGATAATGTTCATTCCAACTATTCCGCGGTCATTGGACAAAGCAACCATGAACTAGATCAAAAGCAAAAGAAATTTTGGTCGAAATATTTAAGATTATTCCAACTTGTATTAAATATAAAGTCTAACAAAAGTCTTCCCCTGAAGAGATACCGGCAACCGCAAAGATGTCAAGGATGATCAGCTACAGTATCGTATCAAGAATAACAGACAAACCATGTCGCAGATTGGCTACAAGTAATTCAGAGGGGTGAAAACAATGACCAGGAACGACAAAAATGCCGATAAACTATAAAGGAGCCAAATCATACTCACGTTTTTCTCAATTTCCTGTTTCAGCTGTTTATATTCTCGAGATTGATTATTTAGCATTGTTTTGTTCCATAACCGATTTGTTACATTAAAACTTATCAAAACCTTCTCCAAAATAGGAATTGCTACAACAGAGATTCTCGCATAAACAATTATTACAAAATATAAAAAACTTGTATTCAACGCAAAAAGCAGATAATACAGAATTAATATTTTCAGAAAATGTATTGTGTATTGTAGATTCACCTATGTAAAAACAAACACACCAGTTGGGCTTTATTTGGCTGCACCAGATATTCTACTATAAAAGGTATAAATCTTATAAAAATAAATAAAAAAATGCAAATTTCATATCTCCCTACTTGTATCCATCACGAGATGAAGATATTGCAGAATTAATATTTTTTTTAGAAAATGTGCTGTGTATTGTAGATTCTCCTACGTTAAAAACAGACACACCAGTAGGGGTCTTTTTGAAACATAAAAAGTACATCTATTAAGTCAACACTTTTCCATCCCAACATTTCCATTGGAACTATTTTTAAAGCATTATTAACAGACTTAAATCAACACCAATACAGCTAGTTTACATCCGGCATGTAACACAGTTTTTCCACCATTGTGAAATTTGTTATCTGTTAATACTTTTTTAAAAATCAAAATAATATTTAAAGAATTGTTATATACCATTCAAATATTCATTATATGTTTTTGAGTCTGTATTGGTTATTGGCTTTAATTTTCTTTAACATGGCAAAAAGTTGTACAAGTATTTCCTACCTTCAGTACAGTTTTCACCTTGGTAACCAGCCCGACAGCCTTCATTACATCTTCCTGTTTTCTGTTCACATATACCAATACCATTTGCTGATTGTTTACAGAAATTACTACAGTTGTATCGACAGCGATTACCATATTTACCATTAATACATCCATTAATGCATGTTCCATTCATAGCACATATACCATCATAACATTCTATACATTGATGATTACAATATTTACCGTACCATGTTAAACTACATTCGGAACAATCACCTGTTCGTGGGTTACATTTGACACAGTTTGAAGGACATCGTTTATTACAATGACTACCATATAAAGCACCAATACAGCCATATCTACAATGTCCATTTCTCTTGCAATATATACCAGTACCCATTGATAAACATCCACTGCTACAATCAGCACTACATTTATCACCATATTTGCCTACTTTACAATCAACACATTTTCCAGTAGATTGATCACATTCGTTGACACAATTACTGCTACATTTAGTTTGACATTGGTCATCATACCATCCTGTCTTACAACTTTGACATCGTCCTGTAGACTGATCACATTCGTTGACACAGTTACTGTTACATTTAGTTTGGCATTGGTCAGCATACCATCCTGTCTTACAACTTTGACATCGTCCTGTAGACTGATCACATTCCTTGATACAGTTACTGTTACATTTAGTTTGACATTGGTTACCATACCATCCCGCCTTACAGCCTGTACATCGGTTATTATATCTAGTACAAGTAATACAGTTATCTAGACAGGTATCCGA